GTGAACTTTGTTGGATTTGCGTGTTTTTATACCCTGGATGTTGGCAAATATAAATGATGTTATCGTGTTAGTGGAAGTGCTGGATGCCTTACTTGGTGTTAATATCTGAGGCTCTGGTAAGGAGGCCACTGTGTTTGCGTCCGTTGATGGAGTAGTGGCTGTTTTCATAGTGGTAGTCTGTCGGTTTTATTCACCTGGTACCTCTTATATGAAAAGCTGGACATTCAGCATTGAAGCACTCTTTCCTGTCCAAAGAGTTCTTGCAAATTTCTGGGTGAAAGAATTCACAGCTTTTGGTACATTTACCTGTATTGAGGAGGTTTCTGCACTTTCTAGGGTGATCGTGTGTACATGTTCCATTTATTCTTCCCGATTCCCCATGCTTACAGGTAGCCCATCTGTAATACCAACAGATTTTGGGGCCTTGTTTTGTTTGTGTCCCTCTGCCAGGGACCGCACTCTGCTGCGGCGCCCCCGACACTGTGCCCTGCTCCGTACCTGTACCCCACCTAAGCCTTTCCCTCTCCACCACTCCCCTAAACCCTCCCCTCTTCCTCACCCACCTCAGCCTTCCCTTTTCCCCCACGCCCTCCAAGCCCTCCCCCTTTTCTGCCCCCCAAGCCCTCCCCCTTTTCTGTCCCCCAAGCCCACCCCCACCTTCTCCCCCATCCCCCCTAGCCTCTCCTCCCATGACCCCCCAAGCCTCCCCATCTCCCACACCCCCAACCCTCCCCCTCTCACCTCCCCCTAACCCTCCCCCCAACCCTCCCCCACTCACCATCCCCCTCTAACCTCCCCCTCACCACAAGCCCATCCTCCTCCACCAGTCTCCCCGTACCAGATCCTCCCAGCTCCCGCTCACCCCAGATCCCACAGGTCCTCCCCAGAGAAGAAGCAGAAGAAAGTCAGTTTCAGGGTAATTTACTGGAACATAGATGGGATCACAAGCAAGGCAAGTGAACTAAGGGAAAGAGCACAAGAAGTGAACCCAGATGTAATCAGGCTCACAGAAACAAAACTCTCAGGAATGATAACGAATGCAGTGTTTCCCCAGGACTACACTGTAATAAGGAAAGAGAGAGAGGGAAGGGGAGGAGGTGGAGTGGCCCTACTAATGAGAAGGGAATAGAGTTTCAAGAAGATGGTCATCCAGGGCTGTGAGGGTTTCAGAGACTACATAGCAGGCACCATGACAATGGGAAGACCAAAAATAGTTGTAGCAATAATATATAACCCTCCACCAAATGACAGAAGACCCAGTCAAGAGTATGACAACAACAACATGGCAGTTAACACTATAATTGAGAGCCTCTGCTGCCTGTAGAAATAGATCCCACCTGCTCATCATGGGGGACTTCAATCACGGAAGGATTGACTGGGGGGAACAAGGAACCACATGGAGGCAAGGATACATGGAGAGCCAAACTATTGGAGGTGGTGACTATAAACGTTTAACCCAGCATGTCAGAGAACCCACAAGGATGAGAGGAAATGACGAACCAGCGAGATTCGACCTAGTCTTCACTCTGAATGACTCCGACCTAAGAGAAATCGGTTTGGAGACCCCAGTAGGAATGAGCGACCACAGTGAACTGGCGTTTGAGTACCTGATTGAAGAAGGGTTATTGAACTCAAGGAGGGATACTGAAAAAAAAAGGCTGGCATTCCGAAAGGGAAACTATGAGGAGATAAGAAAATTTCTAACAGATATTGCATGGGAAACAGGGCTCAGGGGAAAGACGGCCAAAGACATGATGGACTACATCACGCAGAAGTGCAAGGAAGCAGCAAACAAGTTTGTCCCAGTCCAAAAGGAAAACAGTGAAATGAAGACGAGAAACACATGGGATGTAGGCTAGCTAAGCAGCAAAGTAAAAGGGCATGGAGAAACTATAGGAAAAACAGGACACTTGATAGCAGAGAAAGATACCAGAGTGCCAGGAATGAATATGTCAGGATGAGAAGAGAGGCAGAAAGAAAATTCGAAAATGACATTGCAAGCAAGGCAAAGACTCAGCCTAAATTGCTGAACAGCCCCATCAGGAGAAAAACAACAGTATAGCAAAAGGTTATGAAATTAAGGATAGGGGCAGAAGGATTCGCTACAAACGACAAGGAAGTGTGTGAGGAACAGAATAAGAAATTCCAGGAGGTCTTCACCTTAGAGCAAGGAGAAATTCCAGAGATAAGAGGGAATAATTAACCAGGAACCATTGGAAGAGTTTGAGATTACCAGCGGAGAAGTAAGGAAGTGTTTACTAGAGTTGGATGGGATAAAGGCTATAGGCCCAGATGGAATCTCCCCTTGGATACTAAAGGAAGGAGCAGAAGAACTGTGCCTGCCACTCTCCATAGTGTATAACAATTCACTGGCAACAGGAGAGCTACTAGAAATTTGGAAAGCAGCTAAAGTAGTCCCGATATACAAGAAAGGGGATAGACAGGAGGCACTGAACTACAGGTCAGTGTCCCTAACCTGCATACCATGCAAGCTGACGGAGAAGACTGTGTGAAGAAAGCTAGTGGAACATCTGGAGCGAAAGAACTTTGTAACACAGCATCAACATGGGTTTAGGGATGGAAAGTCCTGCCTCACAGGGTTACTTGAATTCTACGAGCAGGCAAGAAAGAGAAGGGTGGGCAGACTGTATATTTTTGAATTGCCAGAAAGCCTTTGATACAGTACCACACAAGAGGCTAGTGAAAAAGCTGCAGTGAAAGGGAAGGTACTCCATTGGATAAAGGAGTACCTAAGCAACAGGAGACAACGAGTCAATGTGAGGGGTGAGGTCTCAGATTGGCGAGACGTTACAAGTGGAGTCCCATAGGGTTCAGTCCTTGGATCTATACTGTTTCTGATATGTCAATGATTTTCCAGAGGGTATAGACTCGTTTCTCTCAATGTTTGCTGATGATACAAAAAATATGAGGAGGATTGAAACAGAGGATGATAGTAAGAGGCTACAAGATGACCTAGACAGACTGGGTGAATGGTCCAACAAATGGCTATTAAAGTTGAACCCGAGTAAATGCAAAGTAATGAAACTAGGCAGTGGAATCAGGAGCTCAGACACAAGATACAGAATAGAAGATGAAGTACTTAATGAAACGGACAGAGAGAAAGATCTAGGAATTGATGTCAAACCATCCCTGTCTCCTGAAGCCCACATTAAAAGAATAACATCTACGGCGTATGCGAGGCTGGTTAACATCAGAACAGCCTTCAGGAACCTGTGTAGAGAATCTTTCAGAACCTTGTATACCATATATGTATGACCAATCCTAGAGAATGCGGCCTCAGCACGGAGCCTGTACCTTGTCAAGCACAAGACGAAGCTGGAAGAACTTTTTCATTGTTAGAGTAGTTAACATGTGAAATGCGTTAGGCAGTGATGTGGTGGAACCTGACTCCATACACAGTTTTAAATGTAGATATGATAGAGCCCAGTAGGCTCAGGAATCTGTACACAAGTTGATTGACAGTTGAGAGGCGGGACCAAAGAACCAAAGATCAACCCCGCAAGCACAAATAGGTGAGTACAGTCTGAATTAAGGTGTCTGGAGTCCTGAAAGCACTCATTCGCAAACTAACATGAATGATCTTGAGAGATTGAAGTGTTATACTGACAGAAGCATAATTTTTTGTCCCATAAATGAACACCAAGGCACCAACGCAGTGATCAACGTATATAGTGAACTCTTATAGCGTTACATCAGATAAGAAAAATTCAGTGTGTGGAGTGATAACATCAATACCATACTGGGGGCAGTAAGCCAGATGAGACGGGGTGAGGAGTATAGCGTTTGTGAAGTAGAGCCAACCATAGTGACTGATCCCTCAAATTGTGCGCACTGCGGAGAAGTCATGTTGTCATATTCTATGTTGTCAATGTTGATTGCAACCCATCCTCCTGTTTAGATAGTACCTACTGTGACAGCCGTCAATAGTGACAGTTAGTACCTACTTAGCTTTTACAATAGTAGTATACTGACTAGTCAGGAATTCTTTAAAACTAAATGAAGCTATAAAAAAAACTGAAATATTCCTAGGCCTTGTATAGCACACATATATACTATATAAGGCCTCTGATATCGTGTACTAGGCCTAGGAAGGTTAGGTTAAATTAGTTTAGTTTGTCAAATTTGGTGGTGCGTCGGTATATATACTATGGTCCTCATTTTACTATAAGTACTACCTATAGAGGCGGATGGGCTGGTTGACTGACGCTTAGTGACAAGCATAGGAGGACACAGCGTATACTGGGACACGAGTAGTCAACCGTGGTGCGGGGACACGAGGAGTCAACCGTGGTGCGGGGACACGAGGAGTCAACCGTGGTGCGGGGACACGAGGAGTCAGCCGTGGTGCGGGGACACGAGTAGTCAGCCGTGGTGCGGGGACACGAGGAGTCAGCCGTGGTGCGGGGACACGAGTAGTCAGCCGTGGTGCGGGGACACGAGGAGTCAGCCGTGGTGCGGGGACACGAGGAGTCAACCGTGGTGCGGGGACACGAGTAGTCAACCGTGGTGCGGGGACACGAGTAGTCAGCCGTGGTGCGGGGACACGAGTAGTCAGCCGTGGTGCGGGGACACGAGGAGTCAGCCGTGGTGCGGGGACACGAGTAGTCAGCCGTGGTGCGGGGACACGAGGAGTCAGCCGTGGTGCGGGGACACGAGGAGTCAACCGTGGTGCGGGGACACGAGTAGTCAACCGTGGTGCGGGGACACGAGTAGTCAGCCGTGGTGCGGGGACACGAGTAGTCAGCCGTGGTGCGGGGACACGAGGAGTCAGCCGTGGTGCGGGGACACGAGTAGTCAGCCGTGGTGCGGGGACACGAGGAGTCAGCCGTGGTGCGGGGACACGAGGAGTCAGCCGTGGTGCGGGGACACGAGGAGTCAGCCGTGGTGCGGGGACACGAGGAGTCAGCCGTGGTGCGGGGACACGAGTAGTCAACCGTGGTGCGGGGACACGAGTAGTCAGCCGTGGTGCGGGGACACGATTAGTCAGCCGTGGTGCGGGGACACGAGGAGTCAGCCGTGGTGCGGGGACACGAGTAGTCAGCCGTGGTGCGGGGACACGAGGAGTCAGCCGTGGTGCGGGGACACGAGGAGTCAGCCGTGGTGCGGGGACACGAGGAGTCAGCCGTGGTGCGGGGACACGAGTAGTCAGCCGTGGTGCGGGGACACGAGGAGTCAGCCGTGGTGCGGGGACACGAGGAGTCAGCCGTGGTGCGGGGACACGAGGAGTCCCCCGTGGTGCGGGGACACGAGGAGTCAGCCGTGGTGCGGGGACACGAGTAGTCAGCCGTGGTGCAGGGACACGAGGAGTCAGCCGTGGTGCGGGGACACGAGGAGTCAACCGTGGTGCGGGGACACGAGTAGTCAACCGTGGTGCGGGGACACGAGTAGTCAGCCGTGGTGCGGGGACACGAGTAGTCAGCCGTGGTGCGGGGACACGAGGAGTCAGCCGTGGTGCGGGGACACGAGTAGTCAGCCGTGGTGCGGGGACACGAGGAGTCAGCCGTGGTGCGGGGACACGAGGAGTCAGCCGTGGTGCGGGGACACGAGGAGTCAGCCGTGGTGCGGGGACACGAGGAGTCAGCCGTGGTGCGGGGACACGAGGAGTCAGCAGTGGTGCGGGGACACGAGGAGTCAACCGTGGTGCGGGGACACGAGTAGTCAACCGTGGTGCGGGGACACGAGTAGTCAGCCGTGGTGCGGGGACACGAGGAGTCAACCGTGGTGCGGGGACACGAGTAGTCAGCCGTGGTGCGGGGACACGAGGAGTCAGCCGTGGTGCGGGGACACGAGGAGTCAGCCGTGGTGCGGGGACACGAGGAGTCAGCAGTGGTGCGGGGACACGAGGAGTCAACCGTGGTGCGGGGACACGAGTAGTCAACCGTGGTGCGGGGACACGAGTAGTCAGCCGTGGTGCGGGGACACGAGGAGTCAACCGTGGTGCGGGGACACGAGTAGTCAGCCGTGGTGCGGGGACACGAGGAGTCAACCGTGGTGCGGGGACACGAGGAGTCAACCGTGGTGCGGGGACACGAGTAGTCAACCGTGGTGCGGGGACACGTGTAGTCAGCCGTGGTGCGGGGACACGAGTAGTCAGCCGTGGTGCGGGGACACGAGGAGTCAGCCGTGGTGCGGGGACACGAGGAGTCAGCCGTGGTGCGGGGACACGAGGAGTCAGCCGTGGTGCGGGGACACGAGTAGTCAACCGTGGTGCGGGGACACGAGGAGTCAGCCGTGGTGCGGGGACACGAGGAGTCAGCCGTGGTGCGGGGACACGAGGAGTCAGCCGTGGTGCGGGGACACGAGGAGTCAACCGTGGTGCGGGGACACGAGGAGTCAGCCGTGGTGCGGGGACACGAGTAGTCAGCCGTGGTGCGGGGACACGAGGAGTCAACAGTGGTGCGGGAACACGAGTAGTCAACAGTGGTGCGGGGACACGAGGAGTCAGCAGTGGTGCGGGGACACGAGGAGTCAGCAGTGGTGCGGGGACACGAGGAGTCAACCGTGGTGCGGGGACACGAGGAGTCAACCGTGGTGCGGGGACACGAGGAGTCAGCAGTGGTGCAGGGACACGAGGAGTCAGCAGTGGTGCGGGGACACGAGGAGTCAACAGTGGTGCGGGGACACGAGTAGTCAACAGTGGTGCGGGGACACGAGGAGTCAGCAGTGGTGCGGGGACACGAGGAGTCAGCAGTGGTGCGGGGACACGAGGAGTCAACAGTGGTGCGGGGACAGGAGAGGACAGTGGACAGAACCCCGCCATAAGGACACGAGGAGTCAGCAGTGGTGCGGGGACACGAGTAGTCAACAGTGGTGCGGGGACACGAGGAGTCAGCAGTGGTGCGGGGACACGAGGAGTCAGCAGTGGTGCGGGGACACGAGGAGTCAGCAGTGGTGCGGGGACACGAGGAGTCAGCAGTGGTGCGGGGACACGAGGAGTCAGCAGTGGTGCGGGGACACGAGGAGTCAGCAGTGGTGCGGGGACACGAGGAGTCAGCAGTGGTGCGGGGACAGGAGAGGACAGTGGACAGAACCCCGCCATAAGGACACGAGGAGTCAGCAGTGGTGCGAGGACAGGAGAGGACAGTGGACAGAACCCCGCCATAAGGACACGTGGAGTCAGCAGTGGTGCGGGGACAGGAGAGGACAGTGGACAGAACCCCGCCATAAGGACACGTGGAATCAGCAGTGGTGACAGGGGCAGCAGAGGACAGTCGACAGAACCCCGCCATAAAGACAACCTTATACCTGATACATTCGTCCATAATGATTAGGATGGTCAGCCTCAACCATATTGTACCAGCGCTCAGATTCACTGTTTTGGTAACAACCACATCTCCACATCCTCCCCCCCTCCCACTAGCACCCAGATCGTCCCCTTTCCCTCCCTCCCCTCCCCCCCTTTTCCACTCTCTTCTCTCTCTCTCTCCAACACCCCCTCCACTTCCAGAAATCCCCCCCACCCCCTCCTTACCCATGTATACACTCAAATCCACACTTCCCTACTTACACCTCCCCACCTTCGGAACCTTAATTGGCCCAGCTCCCCCCCCCCCTAATCCGCCCCCCAACCCCCGTCACTACCACCACCTCCCCCCCCCCTGCCTACCCCCAACTGAACCCAGGACATCCTTGGCACACACACACACACACACATAACAACAAATAGTTGTTTGAGTTCAACCCAAGCAAATGTAATGTAATGAAGATAGGTGTAGGGAGCAGGAGGCCAGATACAAGGTATCATCTGAGAGATGAAATTCTTCATGAGTCAGAGAGAGAAAAAGACTTGGGGGTTGACATCACGCCAGACCTGTCCCTTACAGCCCATATCAAGAGGATAACATCAGCGGCATATGCCAGGCTGGCCAACATAAGAACGGCATTCAGAAACTTGTTTAAGGAATCATTCAGAACTTTGTATACCACATATGTAAGACCAATCCTGGAGTATGCAGCCCCAGCATGGAGTCCATATCTAGTCAAGGATAAGACCAAACTGGAAAAGGTTAAAAGGTTTGCCACTAGACTAGTACCCGAGCTGAGAGGTATGAGCAACGAGGAGAGGCTACGGGAATTAAACCTCACTTCGCTGGAAGACAGAAGAGTTAGGGGGGGACATGATCACCACATTCAAGATTCTCAAGGGAATTGATAGGGTAGATAAAGACAGGCTATTTAATACAAGGGGAACACGCACTAGGGGACACAGGTGGAAACTGAGTGCCCAAATGAGCCACAGAGATATTTGAAAGAACTTTTTCTAGTGTCAGAGTGGTTGACAAATGGAATGCATTAGGAAGTGATGTGGTGGAGGCTGACTCCATACACAGTTTCAAGTGTAGATATGATAGAGCCCAATAGGCTCAGGAACCTGTACACCTGTTGATTGATGGTTGAGAGGCGGGACCAAAGAGCCAGAGCTCAATCCCTGCAAGCACAATTAGGTGAGTACACACACACACGCCCTCGAGCACTAAACCACACAAAAACACACACAGGGAGGGTTGAATGAGAATCTGAATGGGCACAAAGAGGGTTCAGGGTAAGGAGAGTTTCAATGGGGACGACGGTGAGGGTGTTGTCCTCTCCTCTCAGGTGTGTGTGTGTGTGTGTGTGTGTGTGTACTCACCTAGATGTGCTTGCGGGTGTTGAGCTCTGGCTCTTTGGTTCCGCCTCTCAACTGCCAATCAACAGGTGTACAGGTTCCTGAACCTATTGGGCTCTATCATATCTACACTTGAAACTGTGTATGGCGTCATTCCATTTGTCAACCACTCTGACACTAAAAAAGTTCGTTCTAATTTCTCTGTGGCTCATTTGGGCACTAAGTGTCCACCTGTGTCCCATAGTGCGTTTGCCCTTTGTGTTAAATAGCCTGTCTTTATCTACCCTATTAATTCCATTGAGAATCTTGTATGTGGTGATCATGTCACCCCTAACTCTTCTGTCTTTCATCAACGAGTGTCGCTGGAAGACAGTCAGAGTCAAGTCTCTGTCTTGACTGAGTCAAGTCTCAGAGTCAAGTAAGAGAGTCAATTCCCGTAGTCTCTCCTCGTATCTCACACCTCTAAGTTCGGGTACTAGTCACGTGGCAAATATTTGAACTTTTTCCAGTTTAGTCTTATGCTTGACTAGATAACTTTTCCTTGCTGGAGCTGCATACTCCAGGATTGGTCTGACATAGGTGGTATACAAGGTTCTGAATGATTCCTTACACAATTTTCTAAAGGCCGTTCTTATGTTGGCGATCCTGGCATATACCGCTGATGTAATCCTCTTGATATGGACTGCAGGGGATAGGTCTGGCGTGATATCAACCCTCAAGTCGTTCTCTCTCTCTCTCTCTCTCTCTCTCTCTCTCTCTCTCTCTCTCTCTCTCTGACTCTTGAAGAATTTCACCTCCCAAATGATACCTTGTATCTGGCCTCCTGCCGACTATACCTACCTTCATTACATTGCCTTTGCTTGGGTTAAACTCTAACAACCATTTGTTCGACCATTACTTCAGTTTGTCTAGGTCTTCTTGAAGCCTCAAGCAGTCCTCCTCTGTCCTAATCCTTCTCATAATTTTGGCGTCGTCAGCAAACATTGAGAGAAATGAGTCTATACCCTCTGGGAGATCATTTATATTTATCAGAAACAGGATAGGTCCGAGTACAGAGCCCTATGGGACTCCACTGTGTGTGTGTGTGTGTGTGTGTACTCACCTAGTACTCACTTAGTTGTGTTTGCGGGGGTTGAGCTCTGGCTCTTTGGTCCCGCCTCTCAACCGTCAATCAACAGGTGTACAGGTTCCTGAGCCTATTGGGCTCTATCATATCTACACTTGAAACTGTATATGGAGTCAGCCTCCACCACATCACTTCCTAATGCATTCCATTTGTCAACCACTCTGACACTAAAATAGTTTTTTTCTAATATCTCTGTGGCTCATTTGGGAACTCAGTTTCCACCTGTGTCCCCTTGTGCGTGTGCCCCTTGTGTTAAATAGCCTGTCAATATCTACCCTATCAATTCCCTTCAGAATCTTGAATGTGGTGATCATGTCCCCCCTAACTTTTCTGTCTTCCAGCGAAGTGAGGTTTAATTCCCGTAGTCTCTCCTCGTAGCTCATACCTCTCAGCTCGGGTACTAGTCTGGTGGCAAACCTTTGAACCTTTTACAGTTTAGTTTTATCTTTGACTAGATATGGACTCTTACTCCAGGATTGGCCTGACATATGTCGTATACAAAGTTCTGAATGATTCTTTACACAAGTTTCTGAATGCTGTACGTATGTTGGCCAGCCTGGCATATGCCGCTGATGTTATCCTCTTGATATGGGCTGCAGGAGACAGGTCTGGCGTGATATCAACCTCCAAGTCTTTCTCTTTCTCTGACTCCTGAAGAATTTCCTCTCCCAGATGATACCTTGTATCTGGCCTCCTGCTCCCTACACCTATCTTCATTACATTACATTTGGTTGGGTTAAACTCTAACAACCATTTGTTCGACCATTCCTTCAGCTTGTGTAGGTCTTCTTGAAGCCTCAAACATTCCTCTTCTGTCTTAATCCTTTTCATAATTTTGGCATCGTCTGCAAACATTGAGAGAAATGAATCTATACTCTCCGGGAGATCATTTACATATATCAGAAACAAGATAGGACCAAGTACAGAGCCCTGTGGGACTCCATTGGTGACTTCACGCCAATCAGAGGTCTCACCCCTCACCGTAACTCTCTGCTTCCTATTGCTTAGGTACTCCCTTATCCACTGGAGCACCTTACCAGCTACACCTGCCTGTCTCTCCAGCTTATGTACCAGCCTCTTATGCGGTACTGTGTGAAAGGCTTTCCGAATATCCAAGAAAATGCAGTCCGCCCAGCCCTCTCTTTCTTGCTTAATCTTTGTGTGTGTGTGTGTGTGTGTGTGTGTGTGTGTGTGTATACTCACCTATTTGTGCTTGCGGGGGTTGAGCTTTGGCTCTTTGGTCCCGCCTCTCAACTGTCAATCAAGTGATGTACAGATTCCTGAGCCTACTGAGCTATATCATATCTACATATGAAACTGTGTATGAAGTCTGCCTCCACCACATTGCTGCCTTATGCTTTTCACATGTTAACAACTCTGACACTGAAAAAATTATTTCTAACGTCCCTGTGGCTCATTTGTGTAATCAGTTTCCATCTGTGTCCCCTTGTTCGCGTACCACCAGTGTTAAACAGTTTAGCCTTATCTACCCTGACAATTCCCCCGAGGATTTTGTAGGTAGTGATCATGTCTTCCCTTAATCTTCTGTTTTCCAGTGTCGTGAGGTTCATTTCCTGCAGCCTTTCCTTGTATCTCATGCCTCTTAGTTCTGGGACTAGTCAAGTGGCATACCTCTGAATATTTTCCAGCTTCTTCTTGTGCTTGACAGGGTACGAGCTCCATGCTGGGGCCACATACTCCATACTCCAAGTCGGTAGTATGCTTTCAAGAATTAGCTATATAGTGCAATAAGAACGGGAGATGAACAATTCACACAGTTCCCTTTACCAATATATTTATCTTCACCTTTAAAATATATTAAAATAGAGCATTTCTACACTTGTTTATAGTAGTGTCGCTTTCACACAGGACACTAAAAGTGCACACATACAGTGTTCATTAACCCCAGTGTTTCCACCAGCCAGCATCTCGTCCACCCGTACTGGGAAACACTGGCAAGTTCACCTTCTACGTGGACCAGCCCACTAACACAGTATCATGAGGAGCCTATACCCCACTATCACCCTCCAGCCACTCACTGGCAGAGGACCTCAGCCACACGCTGATCGTGGTCACAAAACAACCATATACAGAGGTAGCGAACCCCCTGGCAGAAGTCTCTAGTAACCAGCTAGCAGTACTTTACAACAGGCACCTCATTATCTTACATTACTCTCCAAAGCTAATCCCGGGATACCCCGATCTCTTCCAACACTACATAAATCAGCAGCTAACACACTGCTCCAATCGGCGGCGGCTTACTTAGTCGTCTTCCTGGACCAAGCTGAGAGTATGTGGACTGCCCAAGGTAAACTGCTCTCTTCAGTACGACTACCTCCACACGTTACCTCTGTGGACATGAAACGTCATCTGTTAAATGAACGGTACACTGGGGAAACCAGGAGGTAACACTTACTTACTGGGGAGTTGACATTATGCTCGTAGCACAACCTAGGTGGCGCTGATCTTGATCCGCCACCTCACCAGAGGTCACCCACGTTGACCGCACAGTCTGATGAAGGCAGGAAACC